ATAGATTGAATAAGTATGGTGAAAGATAGAACCCTAATGCACACCCTTCCTGATTTTAAACCATGCAGGATTCCCCTTGTGTTTGAACAATGGCTTCTTGGTCTACATAGAGGTTTCTCATGAGAACAATTAAGCCTTCTGGATTTCTCATTCTTTCCAAAGTTACCCATAATTTGTTATGATCCACATAGCCAAATGCCTTTGCATAGTCAATAAAACATGGGTAAACATCTTTCTTGTATTCTTTACTATCAGCTAATATCCATCTCACATCAGCAATGATACCCCTTTCTTCCACATCCTCTTTGGAATCCAGCTTGCATTTCTGGAAGTTCCCATTTAATATACAGCTGCAACCGTTTTTGAATTATCTTCACCAAAATTTTACTTGCATGTGATATTAATGACATTGTTCAATAATTTCCACATTCTGTTGGATCACCTTTCTTCTGGTAGTCCATGGTATATTCAATATTCTTTGCCAACACCATAATTCAAATGCATTAGTTCTTCATTGGTCTTTCTTATCCAGTGTCCAGCATTTGCATGCATATGAGGTAATGGAAAATTGGGTCAGGTTCACCTTATCCTAAAAGTGACATCTTTGTTTCTTGGATATTGGATTTAAAGCGGTCTTTTGCATGCTCATTTCAGGAGCTTTTGGCAGTAGATGTAACACTGGCAAACAGCATTGCTCAGTGTGGCTTCCCCAATCACTGTCTAGGAGGAGGTAGAGATTCTCATTCTAATAACCTGTCATTGGTATCTTGATAAAATATCTCTAGAGCAAAAAGGCAAGCACATAAAAAATTGGCTTGATTCAAGTATTCTTTTGTTTATATCTAATTTATGATTAGGAGCCCTGGTGGTGTAATCATTGAGTGCTTGGCTGCTAACCAAAAGGCTGATGGTTCAAACCCACATGGCAGCTCCACAGGAGAAGGACCTGGATATCTGCTTCCAAAAATATTACAGCCAATAAAACCTATGAGGCAGTTCCACTCTGCCACATGTGAGTTGAAAATTGACTTGATGGCACCTAACAACAATTATGACTGTCAATAAGATATGGTCTGATCTGTAAATTTGGTCATCTCCTGAGTATGCCAGCCCACTAAGACATTATACATGTTCAATTGCCAGCTTAGGTTATTCTGCTATCTTTCTCCCCATGATAAACTCATACACTGGCTTACAAAATAATCACAATGTAACTACAGGTAGTATAAAACAACTCCTACAACTTGCTTAAAGTAATAAAACACAGCTTCTGAAGTCACAAACCTAAGAATCAAAGTTCTAGGGTCACATGAAGATGAAGAAATCCATAAAGCTTAGTTTAATACTTTAGTTTACTTTTGCTTCACCCCCATACTTTCAAGTAATAAATAGTTATTTACTAAGTGTCCATTATATGACAGGCATAACACTAGGCAGCATTCCAAAATGAGAGACTGAAAATTAGTTGAAATAATATTTGTTAAGCATCTACTAGATGTCAGGCACTGTGGCTGAAGTTTTCCATTTGCATTGACATTTGATACTTAATACATACAATTATTTTTCTAACTTCACAGGGTGTAAGACTGGGACCTTATACTATCCCACACCATTTTCATGACTACTGGTTTGCTTAAGTCTATTAAAAAAAAAAAAAAAAACCTAAACTCACTGCCATTGAGGCAGGTCCAACTCATAGCAACCCCTCCTTGGGTTTTGGACACGGTAACTCTATGGAAGTAGATTGCCCAATCTTCCTTCCGAGGAATGGCTAGTAGGTATGAACCTCTAACCTTCTGGTTAGCAGTCAAATGCCTTAGGTACTACACCACCAGAGCCCCCGCTTAAGTCTATAGTTGTGCCTATGGTAGTGTCTTCGAACCTAGGGGGCTCATCTTCCAGCATTATATCAGACAATATTCTGTTGGCATCCACAGGCTTTTTGTTGGCTAATTTTTAGATGTATATCAGTAGGCTTTTCTTTCTAGTATGAATACACTCTCATTTCACCAAGCACTGTACTATTTAAGGATATTCAGATCGTTTCCATTTTATTTTATTTTTTTTTTCCCTACTACCATCTGGTAGCATAGTGCCTAAGGCACTTGACTGCTAACCAGAAGGCTGCAGGTTCAAATCCACCAGCCACTCCTCGGAAGGAAGGTTGGGCAATCTACTTCCATAGTGATACTGCCTCAGAAACCCAAGGAGGGTCGCTATGAGTTGGGTCTGACTCGACAGCACAAAACAACAACAACAAAAACTACCATCTATGTGCCAATAAGCATCCTTGTTCAAATATTCTTACTTATTGGTGCTTTTATTTTTGTACAATTGATTCTGAAAAAATGAGAAGCATTGGCTACATCTCAGGAGCTTTGCTCAGTGTTTCACACATATTATCTCATTAATCTTGATTCAATCCTATACTATTTCCCCTATATTAAGAATAATGAAATTGAGGTAAATTACCTGTCCAAGATCAATAGTTAATATTGGTGGATAAGACATTTGAGAGTTTAAATAACTTGCCCTAAGTCACTAGGTAGTAAGAGGCAGATAAGAGACTTGAACCCAGGTGCTCTGGCTACTAAGTCCATGCTCTTAAAATGATCCTTACCCATATATTGCCAAATTCTTTCCCCAAAGGCTGCAGCCATTGGCCGTCCTTCCAGGATGGTTTACCCAAAGGTGTCCATTGTGTATCATGGAATGCCTTCTCCAATGATGACATCAACACCTGCCTCAGGTGCAGATGGCTATCTTGTTTGTTTCCAAATGCAGCTAAATGTGTTGCCTACAGTCTGGAAAGCCTTTCACAATGTTGAGTTTGGCTACCTTGGGGATTGTCTCTCTCCTTAGATCCCCTCATAGCAGTTGGGACCAAGAAATGAATAGGTATGGCTAGGGAAGAGGATGCAGAACTGCACTAGGACAGGGTGTCTCTGCTAACAGCCTCCAGTTTCACAATTTAGCAAAGCAGCAACAGGGCATTTTCCATCCAAAGTTTATGGTATTACAATTCTTACTTAAAATGTCTCTAGTCTCTTGATGTTTACAGAATGAAGTAACTTCTTCCTCTCCTCTCAAAACCAAAATCCCCCAAGCTGATTAAAATTATAATGGTATACTACTGTTTCATGTTTCTTATTAATTTTATAGACTATTTTCCAAAAGTGTTTCATTTTGCTATAGAGCCCAGGGGATTTAAGTAGAGGGTGTGTGTGGTTTTTACTAATCAAATAAATGAACCAAATTAAACTAAACAATCCTGAATTGTTTTGTTTACCCCTTCCCTTTGGAGCAATAAAACTTATGGGTATGATTTTGCATTCTGGCTCCTATTGTGAGAAAGGAGGGGAAAAAAAAAATCTGAATACTGTCCTCAGTGAAGCATCATATCTCAGGAGAGAGACAACCAGAGACACAATGGGATGATCACAGAGCCCTGGGAGAGAATTTATTGCAGTGAATAGCAAGTATGTGGGTAGGAGTCTGGCAAAGAAAACAGTCCTGGTCTTATGCCTCAAGAAAGACAACTTGAGGTCCTGAATGTTAAAGAGCCTCATGAAGATAATATGTGTCGCAAAGCCCTGCAGAAACATCACCACTCATCTAGCAACTTCTGTGGGATGATCTAAGGTTGGTTGGGTTGGCACCATTGCCTCACTGGTAGCAAGTCAGCATTATGCAAGAGTCGTTTTGGGAAAACAGATGGAAAGGATTTGAGCTGAAAACCCTGTGCCTTGAGCACAAACCATACCAGCTGTTAAATGAACTCCTGAAGAAATCAGAGATGTGGAGGTCTAGTGTAGTGCTATAATCACTGTTGTTGTTGTTATATGACCTTGAGTCGGATCCCACTCATAGAGACCCCTCCTTAGGTTTCTGAGGCAGTATCACTACGGAAGTAGATTGCCCCATCTCCCTTCCCAGGAGTGGCTGGTCGGTTTGAAACTTCAGCCTTCTGGTTAGCAGTCCAGTGCCTTAGGCACTATGCTACCAGAGCTATAATCACTAGACTGTCCAAAATTGCCAGTGTAAAACGGCCTCTGTGGTGTGAGATTTAGAACTTCAGGTGGCAATTTTATGGTTAGGATGGAATCAGGTTGGTAAACAAGGTCAGCTTGGGACAAAAGTTAATATTGGACAAAAACAGCTATATTTGTTAAATTAATCTAAGATTTATTTTGAAAAAAATAAAATATATAAATGTCAACATATTCTGCATTAACGGATTTCTCGCCATTTTGCCCTTTGGCAATAAGGTATGAAAAGTATGCTTGTTGTTGTGTTGTTATGTGCCATAGAGTCTAACCCGACTCATAGCGACCCCTCCTTGGGTTGCCAAGGCAGTATCACTACAGAAGTAGATCGCCCAACCTTCCTTCAGAGGAGTGGCTTGTGGGTTTGAACCACCAGCCTTCTGGTTAGCAGTCAAGTGCCTTAGGCACTGTCCTACCAGAGCTGCTGAAAAGTATGCTTAGACCTAGTTTATACCGGAATAAACACACTGAGACTGTATTGTAACTTGCGCAGGGTACACATCTAATTGTGTGGTAGCTGGTACAAGAACCGTGGCTTTCAGACTCCATATTTCATTTGGTTTGCTCAAACATCACGCTTCTGATGATGGAGAGGGGCAAATATCAAGGCCAGACTACGGGGTCCAGCAAACTCCTCCCTCCGATGAGCGAAGGTAGTCCTCCCTAACCCAGCTATTAGAACCACACAGTAGGTCAGAATCCCTGAAGGGCTGGGCTCTCAGTTATGGAAACCCAGAAGAAAAGTGGCGAAGAAGAAGACCCGGCAGTGACTGGAGCGAGCCGTAGGTCGGCCAGCGGAATGGCCTGGGACAAAGTAAAGCGGGAATCTCAGCGCCCTGGCGCTGCCCGGTCCAGCAGGCGCCCCAAGGCGCAGCTTCCGCCTTCCGGGCCACCTGCAGGCAGCGCGCGCCCCTCCCGCCCATCTCTCATTTGCCCCCGGCCGTGGTCACTCACTCACGGTCTGGGACACTTTCAGCTCCTGGTTGAGCCACTGGCACAAAATATCCGACATGACTGGGACCTCGCTTCAGACTGCGACTAGGTGCCAGGAACGTGGCGGGAACTCTGTTGGTCAGCCCGCGTCCTCCTGTTGCCAGGGGCAACCCGTTGCAAAGGAAGCGTATCTAAGCTGGAACCAGGAGATGGGTTCAGAGAAGAGGAGACACAGAAGATCAATGGCAGAGGCTTGAAAACCGTGGACTGCCCCCTGCTGGCCGGTAAGACCAGATGTGCGCAAGTCCAAAGGACTCAAGGGGTGGCCGCGGGAGGTGAGGCCTTTAGGAGGCCTCACTGAAGTGAGCAAGGAGTGAGTGTGGAAGGGGAGAGGCTGGAAAGCTCAAGGCTGAGCAAGGAATTCTTAGAAGAGCAGAAAGAATAAGAAAGGGCCTTTTGATTGAAAGGGGGTTTATTTCTTTTCTGTTTGTCTTCTAATGAAACCCATATTGAAGTTCTTCTAATGGTTGCAATTTTGTAAAGAATTTATAAATTGCCATTTTTAATCTCAATATTGTATGGGCTGCCCTGTCAAGAATAGAATGTATCTTATTCATCTTTTTGTTCCCAGATCTGGTATAGAGCTTGACATGTGACAGGATTCAGTACATTTTGTTGTGGTGGAGGAACTAACAATATCTCTATATTGTTTTGTCCAGCTTTTGAGTACATATGAGGTGATTGAAAATATCATGGCTTGGGTCAAGCACACCTAGTCTTCAAAATGACATCTTTGCTCTTTAATACTTTAAAGAAGTCTTTTTCAGCAGATTTGTCCAATGTAGTACGACATTTGATTTCTTGACTGCTGTTTCTATGGACGTTGATTGTGGATCCAACTAAAACTAAGTACTTGACAGCTTCAAACTTTTTTTCTGTTCATCATGATATTGTTGATGGGTCCAGTTGGGAAGATTTTTGTTTTCTTCATGTTGAGGTGTAATCCATACTAAAATCTTTGATCTCATCAGTAAGTGCTTCAAGAAGAACCGGTATTTGAATTGTGGTGTTGGTGAAAAACATTGACTATACCATGGAGTGCCATAAGAACAAACAAATATGTCCTGGAGAAGAGCAGCTGGAGTGTTCTTTAGAAGTGAGGGTAGCCAGATACATTATGTACATGCTATCAGGCGGGACCGGTCTCTAGAGAAAGATAGCCAGCTTGGCAAAATAGAGAGTCAGTGAAAAAGAGGACGACCCTCAATGAGATGGATTGATACAGTGACTACGACAATGGGCTCAAGCATAGAAATGGTTGTGAGGATGGTGCAGGATCAGGCAGTGCTTTGCTCTGTTGTGCATGGGGTTCTATGCGTCTAGACCAACTTGATGACACCTAACAACAACATATTATTTTGAGAAGGAGGTTAAGTGGTTAAGAATTATGAATGCTAACCTAAAGTTCAGCAGTTCAAACCCCCAACCTCTGTGGGTGAAAGACATGGAAGTGAGCTTCTGTAAAGATTACAGCCTTGGAAACAATATGAGGCAGTCCTCCTTTGTCCTATAGGGTCTGTATCAGCTACAACTTGGAATCAGATGGAGGGCACACAAAAACAACAACAACATACTATTTTGAGAGGCGAAGATTTAATAAACCTCTTCATTCTTTTCTGCTAAGTTTTTCCTCCCAGGTAATTATTTTAAATGAATATATATAATATATATTAAAAAAAAATTACCTGTCAATTCCAACTCATGGACATACCTCATTTACAGGGGAGACCATCAAACCACAAGGTTTTGTTTTGGTCCTCTAGTGCTGCTCTGACAGAAAAATACCACAGAGCGGTGGCTTTAACAAACAGGGATTTATTCTCTCATGGTTCAGGAGTCTAGAAGTCTGAATTCAAAGTGCCAACTCTAGGGGCTGGGTGAAAGCCCCTCGCTCTCGGGCTTCAGCTCTGCCTCTTCCTCCCAGCCCGCTAAAGCTAGAGGTGTCTCTTAGCTCAGGCAGCTGCTGGCTGCTGAGGCTGACAAAACCAAGGTCAACAAATAAAATGGCACAGCCCCAAGGTTACCAAACAACATGCCCGGCCACTAGTTCAAATCCAGAGACAGTCCCAAGATCAATAGGAAACATGGCAGGTTGCTGAGTAAAGACTCAGCTACATGTAGAGTCCAAGCATGCCCAAAGCTGTCTTTTATACTGGAAGCAGACCACATCCCTATGGCAGCTATTCAGCCTCTCACAGTAGATTCCTCCGTGGAGCTGATTACCAGTCTCGTCACAGAGACTAACTACATCCAGCTGCCTAGCCAAGTTGACACACAATTTAACTACCACAGGTTTTCTTGGCTGTAATCTTTATGGAAGTAGATTGTTAGGTCTTTCTTCCACCGCACTGATGGGTGGCTTTGAATCACCAAGCTTCAGGTTAGTAGTCAAGCGCAAACCCTTTGTGCCACCCAAAAAACTCTATATTATATATACATTATCTTGTAAGTATAATATATAAGACATATACTATAATACATACATTAACATATGTGTTTATGTGAGTGTGTGGTCATATATTATCCCCAAGTTTTGGATACAACAAATTATCATTTTTAAAACTATAAGAACAATAACAGTTATGTCCTATGAGAACAGAAGTCTCCTGAGATTGATCCGAAATTGATCTGTGTGTCCAGATTGAATGAAAGTTTGGTACAATTTCACTTGGCTGCACATAACTTCTACACCCCAGCACATGAGATTCCTTAGTACTTGTAGTGGCTATTCATTTTCATGTTGATCTGATTGTCCTGTTTTAAATGTGTTCTTACAGTAAACCCCAAATTACTCCTCAAGATAACAGTCTGCCATCCTATATCTGTTTTACATCACAAACTGTGTGTAGAAATAATATCCCAGGAAGTGGGAAGCCTGAGAAAGATATATCCCTCTTCAGAGCTATTATTTTAATATCTCATGCAAAACCCAGGTTATTTTGGTTGAGCCTGATACTCCCAACACAGAAGGCATGGCTGCAGCTGGAATTCTAAGGAAGATGTATTACCAACAGATTTGGAACCTGATACATTCAATATGTTTTGCTGTAGAGACGGCTGCCATTGAGTCAACTCTGACTCGTGGTGATTTTATGTACAACAGAATAGAATCTTGCCTAGACCTCTGTCATATCCAGGATTACTGGCATGGTTGATGTCATTGTTGCAGCTCTAGTGCCAATCCATGTCACCAAGGGGTTTGCATGCTTTTGTTGACCCTCTACTTCACCATACATGATGTCCTTCTCCAGAAATTAATTACTCCTGGTGTCATATCCAAGGTGCTCTGATAGTGTAGTGGTTTGGCTGCAAACCAAAAGGTCAGTGATTCAAACCCACCAGCTGCTCTATGGAAACCCAAATGGGGGTTTCTGTGAGTCAGAATCGACTCAGTGGCAGCAAGTTTGGTTTGATTTTGGTGTCATATCCAATACAACTGACTTGGCATTGTTCTGTTGTGCTCCATAAGTCTTACTCTGGCACTCCACTAAAACCTGCCCACCATGGGTGACCTGACTGATATTTGAAATACCACTGGTATAGCTTCCAGCATCACACCAATACACAAGCCACCACAGTATGAAAAACTGGCAGACAGGTTGGTGATGTCTTGTCTTAGATGTATTCAAGGTAGGAAAATTATAAAAATCTATAAAGCCCTTATACCAAAAAAACAAAACCAAACTAACAGCCTTCAAGTCGACTCCAATTCACAGGAACTCCCACAGAGTTTCCAAGGCTGTAAATCTTTACAGAAATAGATTGCCTCTTCTTCCACCCACAGAGTGACTGGTGGGTTTGAACTGTCAACCTTCTGGTTAGCAGCCAAATGTCCTTATCCAATGCACCACTAAAGCCCTTTAGCCTGGAAAATATACAGGTAGTTCTCAGGTTATGAACATCCAACTTTTTTTCTTTTCTTTTTATTGTGATTTGGGTGAAATTTTACAGAGCAAATACATTTTCCATACAGCAGTTCACATACACTTTGTCTTAGGACATTGACCACAATTTACCACAATGCAACATCTCTCCTCCTCTTCCCTCCCCATAGATATCTCTTTCCTGTGTCCATCCCTCCATGTACTCCTGCCCCCTGAGCTGCTGAGCTGTCTCCCTGTGCATAAGCAGCCCTTCTTTCTCCCATGCTTGTTCTCTCCCAGGAGTGTATCTACCTCAGGTAAATGTTCAACT